TCCATGGCAATGGACCTAGGTATTTGCAAGACCGCCTCCTACCAAACACCTCCCTTCGACCAGTCCGCTCCCACAGAGAGGGCCTCCTTAGAGTGCCGTCGGCCAGTCAATGCCGGCTGGCGACCCCCAGGGGGAGAGCCTTCTCTGTGGCAGCTCCTGCCCTCTGGAATGACCTACCCCCCGACCTACGTACAGTTGCGGACCTGCGCCTTTTTCGCCGAGCCCTGAAGGCCCATCTATTCCGTGCGGCCGGCCTGGCGTAGTTTGGGTTGTGTTTCAGTGGGGGGTTTTGTATGGGTGTGTTTTTAGAACAGGCCTATTATTCAATTCGATTTTAAAACAGAAATTATTTATTTATTCGTGGTTTTTAGTATCGCCTGTTCACCGCCCTGAGTCCCGCAAGGGAGATAGGGCGGTATATAAATTTAATAAATAAATAAATAAAATAAATAAACTGCTTGGATTTGAATATCTACCGTGTTTCCCCGAAAAGTAAGGCCTACACCAACAATAAGCCCTAGCTTGATTTTTGGGGGGTGGGCCTAATATAAGCCCTATCCCAAAAACAAGCCCTAGTTTTGGGGCGAGGCACACACCTAAAAATCAACCTAGGGCCCACCCGCCTCGCACCTGCTCCGTCCCCGCTCGCCTGGCAGCCAGACCTCTCCTCACTGGCCCATTTCTTCTTCTGCAGCCAGGCCTGCATTTCTCTGCAAACATCTGCAGCCGAGCACCAAGCGATGGATTGAATCCATGGCTCGGTACTCGGCTGCTTGGGCCTTCTGGGAAGGCCTGATCGCAAAATGCAGGCCCGAATGCAGCTGCAGAACTTCGGCCCCAGAAGAAGTGAACCGGCTGGGTGGGGCTGTCGGTGCCAGAGATGAGGTAAGGCCTACCCTGAAAATAAGACCTGGTGCCTCTTTTGGAGGCCAAAAAATAAAAAATCTTATATTTAGGGAAACACGGTATTATATCGATATGTTACAGCATCTCAGGTTCTTGGGAAGAATGTGATGCCTATGAAGGCCAGCCCCAGTTGAGGGACTGGCAGCTATGATTTCACACAGCTGTGTACAAGTAGTCCTTGACTTACGACTGTAATGGGAGTGACTGGTCTTAATTTCGCAACATTTTTTGTGCGGATCACCCATTTAATCACCACAGTGATTGATTAAGTGAGCGAATGCTTTGCTGGGGGCGGTTTTGCTGCAATGTATGCGGCTCGGTTGAGAAGCGCCTGAAGTTCGGTCACGTGACACTGGAGGGGAGGGACCTTCAGACCTTCAAAACCAATAGGGTCTGTTGTAACTTCCAATGTTTGCCAAACAACTCGCCACAGGTGGAGAACTTCCCGTATACAATAATTATAATATAGTTACCAACCTCGTTGACCCTGCTCAGCTTTTCTGAAGTCAAGCTTAGCTAGGCGCCGTCACCAGGCGCAACCAAGTAAAATAGTGAAATCCAAACTCAAGGGCGAACTGCACTGGATTCTGATTCTACGCAACAGAAGCTGATCGCCTAGCAAGAGTGCCTTTGAGTTGAAATGTGGCGAAATATTTTACCGTTTTTGAAGACTTTCCCGATCCCTTTAATGGCCTGGTACCGACTTCCCCGGTCTCCTTCCATATAGGGAAACACGCGGGCCTGATGGGTCCAGTAGTAATCTTTAGAGCCAAAGAAAAACACAGGGAATTCTCCAATCTCGTGCTTCATTTTCTGGATATTTGGGGGGACGTTTTTGGGATGGCAGACTTCGGCTGGCCACCACCTACCGCAAAAACAACCCAACGAAAGGAAGAAATTGAGGCCAGCGTTCTCTCAGAAACAAATGAACATCAGATTGTGTTAATGCATACAACTCTCCGTCAAAGATCTTTCTACCTACAAATTCCCCCTTTTCTGAGCTCCGAGGAAGAGTGAGACACCATCATATAGACCCACAACGATTTTTTAAAAAATATTTAAGGTATGTTTATAAATCCAAACCTGTAATTTCCCAGTTTGACCCAAATGATATCTTGAAAATGGATTTTTTTCCCTGCTTTGCAGTCATTGCAATACCAGCTTCCATCTGGCATTTCAATGTTTAGACAGTCGGGATGAAACGCAGCAGGACAAGACTCACAACATAATAAGCTTCCCCCTGTAACAAAAGGCACAAAACAATCCTCAATGACAAGAAAAGGAAAAAAAAAGGCTTTATTTTGGGCATAAAAATGCTAATGTGTTTCTCTGTAAAGAGTAAAGCTCAAGTCCATGCAGGCAAAAAGGAATTATGCAAAGATTACGGTGTTTGCTAGGCTCTATTTTAAGAACAACAGCAGAACAAACTCTTAGTAAACTGGGAGATCTATCAACTATCAACACCTCCCTTTGTGACCAAGAAAAGCTGGAAGCACAACATCTGAACCGCGTTTGTCGGACAAACAGCCTACAAATGCTATCCGAAGACAGAAAGCTTTAAAATGTGGGTCATATTCCCCACATCAAGTTCGTCCATGGATGATGGCTTGCCTATTCTTTCAGCACACATTTTTAAATCTAGGCTACCAGATTTAAACATGGATTTGAAGCTAGACTTGACTCACACACCAAGACTGAAGGTCTTCATGCAACAAACGGGAAAAAGGTTGGTTTGGGTCTCTTTTCTTGGACTGAAGGCACAGATGAGGTGGTTGAGAACGGCATTTCTTACTGAAACCTATTTCTTCTCCCATTCCTGCCCTCAAAAGGAGAATTTTCTGGAGCAGATTTCAGGAGTCAATGGGGGTTGGGGGCAGGCAGGGAGGAGTTGTGCCCCTTGCCCTACCTGCTAACTTCATATTTATATAAAAGAATTCTCCCCATTCTTATATTTAGACATGCAAATTCTTCAGTTCCATTCAGAACGAAAATCCATCTTTTCTAAATGCTTTTGCAACACACACACACATGAAATAAAGGGGCTTTAAACTTAATAAAAAGCATGACCACCCGCAACAAAATCCCCTTACCCACCGTGAAGACCCCTTCGCAGCCCTGAAGAACCGTCCGAATAAAATTAAGTCAGTTGTTTACCTTTTGAGCACACAAAACACCAGCTGACGTTCACGTGAGCATGGTGGCTTTTCCCCTTTGTGGCAGTAAAGTGGTTGGTACACACAACGCTGCTGGAGGAAAGCATGGCACAACCGGCAGCCACACAATTGTCGCCCACGTGGTAAGCCACCGGACAGCGAATGCACCGTATCATTTTGCCTGTCAACATATTGACAAAAGTGCTTAGGAACTTAAGAAGGAGCAGAGTGCACCCAAATCCATAACTAGCTAGTGGATTATGGCAGCGTTTCTCAATCTTGACAACTTTGAGATGTGCGGACTACAACTCCCAGAATTCCCCAGCCAATTGTGGAGCGGAAGTCCACTGTGCTGGCTGGGGAATTCTGGGAGTTGAAGTCTGCACACCCCAGAGTTGAGAAACACTGGATTGTGGCCTAAGCATTCATGAACTACTCTCTAAAGTACAGGCGGGCGTCATCTTGAGAGAGACACGCAGGCACACGGACACAACGAGGCCGAATGTGGGGAATCACAAAGAGAGACCCCAGAGGGGCGGATGGGGAAAACATCTCTAAAATGGGCATTTAGACATGAGTCAAACATTCCAGAGCAAAAACTACCAAACCCCAGGGCCCTCATTTGACCGGAAGATGCTCGCCTCAAAATGATTCCACCCCCCCACTTCGGTTTCATAGCTACTAGGACTCTCCTGCTATGGAGGAAGAGCTTACTCAATTGTGTAAACCATTTGTGGTACCACGGACTCACAATGATGGTATGACTAATCCACGTGAGCCTATCACCAGACAGAAAAAGAAGCCTGGCTGTCTATTTATTTAATCGGCAAAATCAATCCTGACCTTAAAAACCCTTCATAAATTAACAGCTCGGCTCATAACACGAGCGTCCCTTATTTCATCATGAAACCGGCGTCTCTTTGCTCAAGAACGCCCACCTTTGAACAAATAAAAGACTATGGCTAGTCTTTGGCTTACAACAGTTTGCTTAGTGGCCGTTCAAAGTTACAACACTGAAGAAAAAGAGACTTATGGCCATTTTTCAGACTTACGACCGTTATAGCATCCCCCTGGTCACGCAATTTACATTCAGAGACTTGAAAACTGGCTCACATTTATGACTGTCACGGTGTGTCCTCTTTTGTGACCTTCTGACAAGGAAAATCAATGGGGGGGGGGAGCCAGATTCATTGTACAGCCAGGTTACTAACTTATTGTGGTCGTGAGTGGAGGACTGCCTGCGTTCGTGTCAGGTGGCCGCCGCGCCTCTCTGTGCTCCTGGCGCATCATGGCCGCCCACCCACCTCTGGGTCCTCCGGGAAGGAGCGCCAGGCAGCACCCAGAGAGCCAGAGTGAAGAAGAAGAAGGGGGGAAGAAGTAGAGAGCAAGTACCTTTGGACACTTTGGGGTTGGAGGGGTTGGCAACGTGACAACTCTCGCAACTGTGCAGAGGGCAGCGAAAGCCCCGGTTCTCGAACACAGTGAGGGGGGATTTCTTCACGCAGGCCTCGTGATAAAACTTTCCGCAGTGAGAGACGGCGCAGCGCTTGACCTCCGACTGCTTCTCCTTGCAGACAAAGCAGGCGTGGAGCCCTGATGAAAAGGTAAAGCATCCTTTCAGTGTTGCTCAAGAACAGAACAGAGCCAAGTTCATGTTTAGCTGGAGCCAATGAAGTGCTTGGAATTAAAAGTAGCTACCTTTTTTTTAAAATAAATAAATAAATAAATAAATCATTTTTCACAGGCATTTCTCCCCCCGTAAGCATCTTCCTCTCAATATTAAATGTCTAACTTTGTAAAATCTCTTTTAGAGAATAGTAAGGAAATTTGGGGGAAACGGAAGGGTGACTGTAATGCAAAATATTCACAGGGTGGACCGAATTCTTCCCAATAGGAAAGGTGGAGACGGGAGGTTAGCACAGGGTTTCCATCCTCCGGCAATCAGGGTCCAGAGCGGGCAGAGGCTGCCGTCCCCCCCCCCCCAGGAAGCGAGACTTGCCTGAAGTACATTCGCTGCACCTGAAGTGCCCCTTGGGCCGTCCGGAGAGGCCGCCGCAGCTGGCGTGGAAAGCCCCCAGGCAGCGTCCTTCACACAGCAGCAGCTCCCCGGGCTTCTCGCAGACCTTGAGAAGGGAAAAAAAGTTAAGCCTTAAAGGGCCCAGAGCACGGATCGAGGGTCCCTCTCCCTTGAGGCTGCCGTCTTTTTTAAGGGCACGGGGCTCCTTTAAAAAAAGAAACATAATTCAGATTCACCGAGTGGAGGTCCACGATCAACCTCATCCGAGTGTGTGCCAAGAGGAGGCCTCCAGCAGCCACAGAGCTGGCTTCAACGGGGAGTTTCCACGGAAGGTGAACATTCGTGGTTTCTTGTGGTGGAGAAAAGAAGCATTCGCAGGCTCCTTTTTAGCACAAGGAACCCTTGACTTACAACGGTTCATTTGGTGACCGCTGAAAGTTTACAACGGTACTGAAAAAAGTGACTTATGACCGTTTTTCACAGTTACGACCTTTGCGGCATCTCCAGGGTCACGTGATCAAAATTCAGTGGCTTGGCCGCCAGCTCCTACTTAGGACCGTTGCTGCGTCCCAAGATTGTGTGATCACTTTTGGCGGCCTTCTGATCAGCAAAGTCAATGGGGGAAGCCAGATTCACTTAACAATGGAGTTACTAACTTATCAACTGCAGTGATTCACTTAACCACCTTGGCAAGAAAGGTTGTAAAATGGGGCAAAACCCACTTAACAAATGTCTCACTTAGCAACACAAATTTTGGGCTCAATTGTCGTAAATCGAGGACTGCCTGCATCAGAGAACGGGGTGTTCTGAGCTACTTCCGGAAGTTGGACGGTGATGAGTGGGCCGATTTATTTCCTGACCTCCCACATCCATCTTCTTATCTCTGGACCAGTGACCGCCACAGACCCCACACGAAGGAACGTCCCTAGACGGTGAAACTACGGCCCCAGAGGTCAGTGGGGCCTGGCCAAAAGGGAGGGCCGCCGGGTCTGAGGGCTCCACGATGCTGCAGCATCAGTCGGTAAACGATCCGCTTGCTAGGCAGGAGAAGGCCACTGGCTGCCATCTTGGAACTGGATTACTACAGGAAGTTAACCTTCAAGAGATGTAGTAGCATCTATGCAGCTGCGCTCCTTGTCAAGCAAATAAACAAATCCACCACACCCAAGTACTGTGTCACAGATAGAACCGCGATGAGTTTCCAAGTGGCCAGGTATTTTGCATGTGGGTTGCACTTTCCACATATGACTGCGTGCCCAAAATACGACAACGGCGTTGTGACATTTCAAAGCTATCAGCCTAAAAAGGCCAAGTATGTGAGTTGGGAAAGCCAAGCCCTAATGGATGTATTGTTGCCTGTGACTCCGTTCTTCAGGCCGCTTGGAGAAAACTTCACGGTTACTGCTGCTTCCCTCACTTTTGTTCTATGAAGGTTAGGCAGTATTTGTAACAAGCACGCTTAAAGGCTCCCACTGTTTGCTTGGCCAATTTTAATCTAGGCTGAGCAGTGGGACATAGAACCCCTTCTCTCCCCCCTCCCAAAAGACAAGTTCCAGGTGGGAGTGATTAATTCCAAGCTCAAAACATGTTCTTTTTAAATGCATATTCTGACAAATGCAATTGGACTTGGCAAAGATCCTATGAGATTCGCAAATTGTCTACAGCAGATAAGATTTTGACCATTTAGTTTCCCCTACAGACCTTTGTTTGGTTCTGGTTTGTATTTTACTTAAATTATGCAGTATTCCTATTATCCTAATTAGTGAAGTCTGTAATCCTAGAGCTTCTTTAGAACACGATTGTTTGGATACTGACAAAAGAACGTTCCCCATTTAGATTATCACATGTAAATGGAATATTCGTTCTGCCCCAAATGACACGTTGAAAGGGCCAAGTCATGAGGTTTGTTGAAAGCCTACCTAGGACAGGGGAAGGCAACCTTGGCCCTTTTATGACTCGTGGACTTCAACTCCCAGAATTCCTGAGCCAGCTATGCTGAGGGGAAAGGGAGAGGTTTCCAAGCTGAGCCAGGCTGGCTCAGGAATTCTGGGAGTTGAAGTCCACGAGTCATGAAGGGGCCATAGTTCCCCCATGCTGGCTGAGGAATTCTGGGAGTTGAAGTCCACGAGTCATGAAGGGGCCATAGTTCCCCCATGCTGGCTGAGGAATTCTGGGAGTTGAAGTTCACGAGTCATGAAGGGGCCTAGGCCTAGGCCAGGGGTAGGCAACCTGGGCCCTTTTATGACTGGTGGACTTCAACTCCCAGAATTCCTGAGCCAGCCATGCTGAGGGGAAAGGGAGAGGTTTCCAAGCTGAGCCATGCTGGCTCAGGAATTCTGGGAGTTGAAGTCCACCAGTCATAAAAGGACCAAGGTTGCCTACCCCTGGCCTAGATGTACTGGAAGGCGATTCTGGTGACAGTTTCCCGTGGATATTTCAACATATTTGTTCATGTTAAATTTTCCGATTTACAAGCAAAAACGTGCCTTGACAAGCACTGATGGTCTGCTGTCACCTCAGTGTTGACTCTTAGTGACCAGGCAAGATACATTTTCCCCACCACGATCTCTCCCTAACCTGGTCTTTCCGAGAGTTTACCCAGAGGACTTGCCTGACAAGCCCCTTCCTTTCTTACCTGGCAGACGTACTCCTTCCGGGCTGTGGCTCCTCGGTCCGACTTCTTGGACAGCTGAGAGGCCTCCCCGAGACCCTCGTCGGTGCTTTCATAGGCAGACTCTGACCTCTCGTCTCCCGGACCATCTGAAATCTAAAAACCACAGGAGGAATTAAGAGCTTCCTACATTCTGATTTAACATTGCTTCTGTGGGGGAAAAACCCTGATGTATTAACCCAGGGGTAGTCAACCTTGGCTCTTTTATGACTCGTGGACTTCAACTCCCAGAATTCCTGAGCCAGCTGTGCTGGCTCAGGAATTCTGGGAGTTGAAGTCCACGAGTCATAAAAGAGCCAAGGTTGACTACCCCTGTATAATTAACCCCTTCAGCTCTCCAGGGGTTGCTGAACTACAGATCCCAGCATCCCCAGCCCGCTTGGAGCCCTTAGATTTCTTCTTCAGCAACTAGACCCCCAAACTGTCCTCCACCAACGTTCATTTGTGACAGGCCTGTGGCATAGTCAGCAGGTGAATTAATTCTAGCATGGGTAATTTCTATAGAGGAGGCTGCTTGCCTCATACAGGTGAATTTTATACCTGACCAGGAACTCTGACTGGATCGTGTTACAGCAGGAAGCCCCCCCCCCCTGCCCTCTTGGGATTGTCTAATCCCAGCTGTCAGCTTTCCTCAGTTTCCCAACAGATGCAACTGCTCTGGAAGCCGACTACAGGTAGTCCTCGAATTACGACCACAATCGAGCCCGGATTTTCTGTTATTAAGTAAGCTTTGTCCCATTTTACAACCTTTACAACAATTGTTAAGTGAATCACTGCAGTTGTTAAGCTAGTAACACGGCCGTTAAGTAAATCTGGCTTCCCCATGGACTTGGCTTGTCAGGCCGCAAAAGGGGATCACGTGATCCCGGGACGCTGCGACCGTCATAAGTACGAGTCAGTTGCCGAATGCCTGAATGTTGATCACAGGACCAAGGGGAGGCTGCAACGGTCGTACCTGTGAAAAACGGTCATAAGTCACTTTTTTCAGTGCCGTTGTAATTTTGAACGGTCACTAAACGAACCGTTGTTAAGTTGAGGACCACCTGTACTCAACAAACCAAGAATCCGAAGGTGTGCAAAACGTGAGCATGCAGAGATGACCATTTGAAAAAAACCAAAACAAAACAAAAACACCGCAGGTAAGCTACTCTTCCGTGTTGAGATCCAGGTGCCTCCCTCTTTAATTGCTACCAGAGGTTAACAAATAAAAGGCCAGCCGTTAATTTAGGAGAGGGTAACACAGCTCTGCCAAAAGACAGGTGTGTAGTGGTTTACATGGGTGCGTGAACATGTCACAGAAATGGCTAGTGCACACTACGATAGAAATGTAAAATGTTGAGATTTGATTTTAATGTCTGGTTTTACTGCAACAGAGAGAGTCGGAAGTCAATGCCTTTTGTTTCTTCACACCTTTTTTTGTTTTTCCTTTCTCTACTCTTGTCCCCTACTATTTGCTTTTGCATTTTATGTTAGAAATGAATGAAAATAATAATAATAATAATAATAATAATAATAATAATAATAATAATAATAGGAAGAAGAAGAAGAAGATGTTGCATGAACGTCTGCTGGATAAAACAAGTGTTGAGGTCAAGTCAAGGCATAAGACGGTGCTACAGATGCGGAAAAACTCTTCAAGGAAGGGCCCGCTCTGCAGGGAGGGCGCAGCTAATCGGCCTATTGAGTCTTTGCATTGAAAAAACCCACCTTTTCTGTCCCCATCATAGCAAACCTGTGAGAATCACAGAAACGCCTTTATCAGTAATAGGACTCTGAGCACTGGCTACATAGAGGTCGCTATACACCAGCTGTGTGCAGATGGCGATAGGGAAACTATAAGACAGTGTTTCTCAACCTTGACAATTTTAAGGCATGTGGACTTCAACTCCCAGAATTGGGAGCCAGCTGTGGAATTCTGCGAGTTGAAGTCCACATGCCTTAAAATTGTCACGGTTGAGAAACACTGCTATAAGAGGTCCTAGTTCATGTGATATTTTGAAGGTGCTTTGCTAGAAAGACACCTGGTTAGGGAGATGTCTGCGGAGATTCTCCATCGTCCAGATCATGGTTGTCCCAAAGGTGCTTTTTCAAGAGGCAACTGGACTTTCTTTGTTCTTCCTTGAAGACGTTTCGCTTCTCATCCAAGAAGCTTCATCAGTTCTCAGTAAAGTTAGACCTGAAGAAGCTTCTTGGATGAGAAGCGAAACGTCTTCAAGGAAAAGCATAGGAAGTCCAGTTGCCTCTTGAAAAAAGCACCTTTGGGGCCTGGTTAGAGAATTATCCTATTGTATCCGGAAAAAGCGAAGAGTTCAGCGCACAAACTTTGCCCCATCCTCCTTGGATGAAAAGACTATTTCACTTAAGCATAGACAACTACAGCCTCTGCAGGTACATATTATGCAGTGACTGTCACTGTACAAAATTGCAAGTCTTTTACTAAGAGGAAAAATGGAAATACGGTCATCATCTTACACAGGAAAAGCAGGACCGTTGTCCAGCACATGAGTTCCTTCTTGAAAAATATCTAGACACATCCAGTGTTTTTGGTAGACCTTTTCTGATGGACCAGGCCAGCGATTCTCAACCATTTCTTCACCACGGACCCCCTTTAAATACCTTTTGTGGCCAGGGACCCCAAAGCCTTAACTCAAGATTTAAATCATAACATTTCTTCGAGCCTTCACGGACCCCTTGTGACGACGTCGCGGCTCCCAGGGGCCCATGGACCACAGGTTGAGAATCTCTGGACTAGGCCGCACCTACTGTGGAATTAAGAGAGCTGAGAATTGCCTGGAGGATCTGTGACACTTTCACTTGTGAAAGACACAGGCAGAGGAGAGCAGTAAACCTGGGCAGTCCTGGTCTGATCACACATACACAGCTGTCTGGGTTCATGGATGACATACGGAGGAAAGTCACACAGCCGAGACAGCGGTTGTTCTCTGCTGATGACCTTAGTTCCCTGTGGATGAACTCAGAATTCAGCCTCATGAAGTGAAGGATTGCTCAGCTTCAACCCCTTCCGTCTTCTCCTTTGAGGTGGACCATTGCGCTGTAGCTCTTACGCTGAAATGGCCGGCTATTCTGCTGTCTCAAATAAATGCAGTGCAACGGAGGCTCTGACTGACAGCATCAAGAGGCTGGAAGATGGATGCGTGGCTGGTGGAGAAGGCCACACCACTTGTAGGTCCACAATGAGGACATCTGAATCTGCTGGCTTGGATACCGTGGAAGTTAGTTGTAATCTACTACAAGTTATACACTAAGAGAACGTGGCGGTTGTTGAGAGGATCCATGGTTTCCTATGGGCAGTATTTACAATCAGGTGACAGAGCCAGTGGTCAGAATTTCGAATCTGGGTCCTCAGTAACTTTTTTGGTTTCCGTTGTAATTTCAAACAGTCACTAAACAAGTTGAGGGATACCTCTACTCTGCAATCCATTTTTCACTGATCGCTGCATTTTCTTGGACAATGTGATGGAAAAGGATCTCATAGCAGAAACTGGTTTATGCTATAGGATAAATCGTCCCATTGCCCTAATCCGGGGTTAGGCAACCTCGGCTCTTTTATGACTCATGGACTTCAACTCCCAGAATTCCTGAATCAGGAAGGAGTTGAAGTCCATGAGTCATAAAAGAGCCAAGGTGCCTATCCCTGCCCTAATCCATATTTATTACCAAGGATCACAAAGGTGAGAGTCGATTCATGCTAACCAGATTTTATGACCCTTTTGTGGTGATCATTAAGCGAGTGCCACAGTTAAGTGAACCCATTATTTACTACGGGGCGTTTTTGGATGGCAATTGGAAGTAAACTCCAATTTCTAGCAAAAACGTCGTAAATTGTGGTCACGTAACTGCAGGATTCTGCAAACGGCCGTAAATGGGGGGTGGGGGGGGGGAGGCCGCCAAGCTCCCAAAACGTGGTCATGTGACCTCAGGGTGGAGGAAGGCGGCCATCTAGGTCGTAAACACCCTTTTCGGGCTTTGTTGTAACTTCAAATGGTTGCTAAGCGACCGTTGAGGACCACCTGTAGAAAGGCTTGCGCTGTGTGTTGCAATTGTGTTGCTCTGAGCTTTGAGGTTGCCGTACACAAAAGATACGCACCGTGTGAGCACGCACATCGGGGCTCTAAAATCAAAGGACTCAAGAGGAAGATGTTCAGTTAACGAGTGGTTGACGGGCGTTACCTGCACGGCCACATCCGGCCCAAAAGCCCATTTGCTCCTTCCTGTCCCAAGCCTTGCAGAGTCTGAACGGATTTTAAGGAGAGAAAAAAAAACCCCCAATAACCAGAAAAATGTACTTTCCCTCTCATTTATACTGCTTGTGACCTGAGCTGAACTGAGCATTGTTTCATCTTGGTTTAACTGTGCCAACAGGGCCTGCTTAACCTCTGCATGTTTTACGTTTTTGGCAGAAGTGCTTCTTCCTAAGCGTTTTAAGAAAAGCTTTGGTTGAAATATTTGGGACTAAGCATCTTTTGGAGAGTCTGAGATAGTCCCAGCCAGTACCACAAATTTAGACTTGTGGATAGTTGGATGGCCTGAGTTTCCCTGTATTCCATGTTTAAAATCCTTGCAGCGCCCGACTTTAATGTCTCATAATACTACGTGGAACCAAAATTCAGGAAAGCTGGCGTGAGGCGCACAGTCGAGTTCTCACCAACGTTTCCTCTTTCTCCTGCAGAGATAAACTTACCACACTGTATGTACAGAGAAAGGAGAACGGAGGTTTTTATAACAGCAAATGAATCCTGTTTCAAAGGTTATTTCTTTCCACTGTTTAAAGAAACCAAATTTAAGTTGCTTGCATATTTTTTATCTGCCTTCCATTGTTCATTTGTATTTTACCTCATTCTCAGTTAAGGACGCTGAAGGAGATGAACTTTTGCTATAAGGGAGATGCGAAGATTCTGGTCCCGGGGCCCGGTTTCGTTTCTTCAGTGGCTTATATGCATCGGACAGACCTGCCGTTGTGGTAAAATAATTTTGGTTTACAAAGTGAACTTAAGAGTCCCAGGGCCTTTCCTTGAAGTCAACACCGCCTGACTGATGTATCGAGAATTTAGAATATTCTTTTCAGATCCCCACGGTATGGAATTAGAAATACAGATAGAGAAGCAAATATAGGCCGCATTTAAGAATAGTTAAAATACAATGCACGTAGCGTGATTTGCAATCTAGAATTCCATTGGTATCCCCATCTTTTTCTGAAGATGTGACCTGGATGGATTTGGTCAATAATTTATTATTGATGTTTCTATAGTAGATTTGCAAATCAATTTTACAAGGCCAGAGCTTTTTAAATACTCATGGAGACTAATACTACTTACGTTAAGCCAGACTACATTTAATTGCCTGGCTTCCTCAGTGAGGCTTAAAAAACAGCTGGAAATAAGGCCAGTTGCACTCAGTGGATATCTGTCTTGTCTGTCATCTATCTAATCCAGCGGTTCTCAACCTATGGGTCGGGACCCCATTTGGGGTCGATCGACCATTTCACGGGGGTCGCCAAGCAAGGCTGTCCGCCATTTTTCCCCCTTTTTCCGGCGGGTGCCTTACCTCCCTTGAGCTGGGCCAGCTGGTGGTCGGCCTGCTCCGTCTCTGCCGCTTGCCAGCTACGCCTCGGCCGGCACAGGGGGCGGAACCACGCATGCGCGGCGCTCCCGGGCAAGGAAAGTCCTCGACTTACGACCGGTTTAGTCCTCGACTTACGACCGGTTGGGGGTCGCGGCATTAAAAAGGTTGAGAACCACTGATCTAATCTATCCATCTGTCTATCACTAACCATCTGTCTCTGCTTATGCCCATCTATATGTATCCACTCTGTCTGTCTATGTCTGTCTGTCTGTCTATCTCCATATGTCTGTCTGTTTGTCTCTATCATCAATCAATCAATCAACCAATCATCTCTGTCTGTCTGCCTGTCCATCTAGTTATAGAAGAGAATTCCATTTACCAATTCTAAGAATCCTGCCGGGCCTTCCCATCCCTTCCTGACTGGTTTGTGAGAGTCGTACTCCCTCCACATAAACGTTTGAGTCAGCGTGGGAAGCTAAAGTGTGGGAGGGGGGGAAAAAAGAGGTAACAATTAGGACCCCCACCTTCAACAAATAAAAGGCGTGTGTCCCACTTCTCAAGCTTACAGCAGCATTCAAACAGGGCCACGGCTTATTTCCCCACATTTCAGCAGCCACTTTAAACCACGGAACGTAGAACCTGGTTAATGTCAGAAGACGCATCAAGCTTGTTCTGACTACATTACCTGACGGCTTCTTTTGCGAGGTTTCTGTGACTTTAGCCAAGTTTGTTTTTGCCGTTTTGTCATTGCTCCTCTCCCTCTGTTATTAAAAAAAAAAAGGGGGAGGAGGAAGGAAGAGAGAAAATGAAATAAAAAAAACACAAGAGCCTTCCTAATTTAGATAAATACGGGAAGAAAATACTGGAAGAAAATAATCACCTCATTGAAACAGACTCTAAATAGAAATATTATCTATTAAAATAGTCATTTAATTTTAAAACGACGTGTCTAAAGTTAGCACTTTTAAGACTTCTGTGACGGGACTAATTAGAACGTCCATTTAAAATTCCCCCTGGGGAACCATCTTTCGCTGAAGACGTGGTTTAGTTACCTGATTGGGTGTAAGTTTGGAAAAAAATAGGTTACTAAGCAAACATTAGTTTTACTTGAAGGTTAATACCAGCACCTCCAATAGAAAAGGACTTACGAGTACAGGTAGCCGTTGACTTACAAAGTGGTTGATCATTCAGAGTTAGGACATTCTTTACATCATTTCCGGCTGTCAACATGTCATGCCTCACCCTAACAGCTGCACGGCTGCATCTCGGGTGCTTGGCAAACCAGCTCACGTTTACGACTAGTTGCAGCATTCCGTGGTCACAAGACAGTGGCTTGTCGGTTGTAAAATTGGGTCTGGTCACATGGGTGCCTCGACTTACAACTTAAACTCTGTTCCCAAAAGCAGTTGTAGATCTACCTGGTCAAGGGTAGCGTTGCTATCCAAGCTTCCTATGAGGATGGCTGGGAAGTTACGCGCGAAGGGGTCTTGTTTTCTTTTTTTACCCCGTCCGTTCATAGATTCATATGGACAGGTAGCTTACCTGTAAAAGCAGTTCATCAAGTCATCCCCAACTAAATCTGTGACTTTTAGCAGAAGGGAGCAAACGCAGGTCCCTGCCAAATTTTCTCTTTTCTGTTGCCCTGTTAAAGGACGTAAGGAAAGGTCTCCCAGAGAATGTGGGTTAGTTGGGGCGACTACTCAACAGAGGCAACCGCAAGACCACGGGGTTAAGACACCCTGCTTGATATGTGCCGATATCGCCGAGCAATGATAAAGGCAGGAGAGACACACACACACCCGCCTCACTTCCAGGGTGCTACCTGAACAGGTGGGCCTTTCCGCTTCCTCCCCACGGATTAAGACGAGGGAACATGAACGGAAGCTGCAATCTACTCGGGAATTCATTAATTCAGGGCCAATACAATATGCTACACACAACTATTTTACAATAGCTGAAGTAACAAATTAGCTTTAGGACCTAATGTCCATGTTTCTTTTAACAACAGTCGACATACCTTACTGAGGAAGGTGTAAAAAAGAAAAAAACAACAACAATACTTCTAAGTGCTAATGACGTTGCTTGTGAGTTCACAAAATAGGCATTCAAAAAAAATGAGGATATCTATTCAGGGAGTCTTTACCACAACTACGGAGTCCAAAATTTCTGTTGTTAAACAAGAAAGTTGTTAAGTGAGTTTTGCCCCATTTTACGACATTTCTTGCCACAGTTGTTAAGTGGATCGCTGCAGTTGTTAAGTTAGTAACCCGGTTGTTAAGTGGATCCGCCTTCTCCGACTTTGCTTGTCAGGTCACAAAAGGGGGACCACGTGACCCCGGGGGACGCTGCACCCGTCATAAACATGAGCCAGTTGCTAAGGGTCCGAATTTTGAACATGTGACCATGAAATGATGTCATTTTTCACCAAATGTGAAAAACGGTCCCAAGTCACATTTTTCAGTGCCGTTGTAACTTCAAATGCTAAGTCAAGGGTTCCCTGCACAAACACAATTCCACTGGATCTTTAACATTTCCGGATACATGAATTGTTGCTTCCGCACCTGTTAATCCATTTGTTTGACCCTAAATGTGTGAAGTGCAAATAAACAACTAGTTCAAGATGGGGGGAAAAAAGTGAGACTGGCCATCTGAAAAGTACAGATGAAAGGATATTTTATCCCCTTTTCCAGATGAAACCCCCAGACCCCCCCCCCAGGTGCAACTGATTTCCTTTCTCAGCTGTTCACTTGTTCCTCTACTATCATGGCGGAAAGATTCAGAAAACAGACCCACGAATATAAAATATGACATCAAAGATGCTTTTAGGGGCACTGCATAGTCCGATGTTTCGAAATGAGCTCTCTGGTTAACTACTTGTTTAACAGGTCGATCCATCAAGTGATCACCCCGTCCATTAAATCATCTGCTCCGGTGAAGCAGCATGTTATTTTGATAAAACAAAGTCAAATAATAATCACGTCGGTTGCCATGACAGTACACCCAAATAAGCCAAGAACATAGTTACCTTCTGATAGTTCTTCTTATCCATTCTCAGCCTTTTTCTAGATGCTTCTTGAACTTCAAAATCTTCCGTGGGTTTCCTTGTCCTCTTTACAGGTTTCCTTTTATTTCCATATAAGTTACCTTGGAGTAGGGATGGGGAAACTTAAAGCTCATGTAGAAATTATCTCGAACCAAAGCAGTTACGTTACTGTTCTAACACAGCTCGATAATGTTTATTAACCCTAAACATCTTGTGAGTCCCAGCTTCTCTTATTAAAACTAGATTTGCAGCACACACCCACGAGAGCGGATCTTATATACAAAAACATCCTACACCTATCTGTACATTTAATATTAATTTCTCCTTTCAATTTATAATGGTTCTACAACCAGAAGTTTTTTTTCTGAAGTAACTTCTTTTTAAAAGCGCACTAGTGTTATATAAAGCAATTATCCCATTTTCTGAAATTATTATGTAATAGACTATCACCCTAAGGCTTGGAAAATATAAGGTAATTACATGTATTAAGTGAATTTGTTTCATATAAAGACCAAGGGTAGGTTAGGGGGGGAGAAATATTTTAGACAAAGATAGTGGGAAAAAAAAGGTTTTTAGGCACCTTGTATATTTATACCTGAAACCCGTGGGTCTGAATTAAACCCATTTGAAATAATAAAGTTCCATGTTACCAACTTTAAGAGAGAAGATTACAACTAGTTTATACAACCTATTTCACCAATTCTCCTTTATATGTAAAGATTCTATTCCCTATCCCCAAAATCCCCTATTGGATCATAACAAAACTTCCTAATTATTGTTCATTATTCCCCAAGTAAACTTTTTAGCCTAGGACCAAATTGTTATTACTTAATTTGGAGCCACAGAACTTCATTCAAATGTTATGGGAAAAAAATCAATATCCTTTTGCTGGTAATTAAATTTTCAAGCCTCAAAACACATCTTACTATCCTATCCTACAACATGTTTCTTTTAAAAACGTGTGGATAACTGTTCGTTTCCACATGCCAAGGGTGAAGTTTAAGTTTATTGGGAAAAGCTATGGCTTAGAGGGCCAAGATTTTGACATAAGCTATATCGACGTGCAAAAACGGTCTTTCACAGATTCCTAAATATGCCCAGGGTCTGAAAGTCATCTTATAGAGGTGTAACAAACTGAGGAAGCAAGATTCATTTTAATTGGATCGTAAGAAGAAACTTCCATAAAGCTGGACAGAATTTTGTACTACAGTACTCAAATATTTAATTCAAGATCCATAAAAACGCTAAAACTGAAGGAGCACAACATTTTGAGAAAAAGGTAGGATTGAGCAGTTACATGAAAGGCACACTTAAGTAAAGGGTTACTTAGTTTAAAATCAATATTACACAGCACAAATTTAAATTACTTCTGGATCTTGATCTTCGTTTACGTGATCCTTGAAAGACTTTACGTGTGGCCTTGCTCAAGCTCCTCGCTGCTGAACCTTGAGAGATACAGAATGTTGTGTAGTCTTGTTTGCTTTTAAAATCGACACCCACATATTTTATACATCGAGACAAAGCATTCAACTTTCCCCACAAGTTGTCATTTCACACACAAATAACAAAACTGACTACAGTTTTAATACATTTTGTCCAAAATTGAGAAACCTTTCCAACACACGCTCATTCTTCTCATTGTCCAAAGCAGCAACCTGATATCTTAAAATTTCTGTCATAATCCAACAATGTTATACAGACTACAATATTAATACTGAGAGACAAAAAATATGGCTTTTTAATTTTTATTTTTTTTTTTGCCTTTAGGCATATCAACTCTTCCAAATCTATAGCTAAATGCTTTATAAAGATGGAGATCTGGCCAGATTCCTGCAGATTCAAATAATACTCTCCACCACTAGCTACAGCCCTGTCTGTCCTGGACACATTTAAGCATTGGGTGGGGTCTTTGAACATCCACACAGTCTTAATTATTGCAAACACAGGGACACGGACTCAACCTCCACTCCGACTTTGAAAACAAGAGTTACGCTCAGAGCGAATGTCTTTAATTTAAATTCTAGCTTAATTTCTTTCGATCTCCTTAATTCCCATTTCGCTGACAGGGAGGGATACAGGCGGTGGCTGCTGCTTGCAGACAGGAAGGGAATGAGACACCAGCATTATCTACAACAGGTTTACACAGAGCAACTTCGCAGAACAATGAGCAAGAAATGTAGACATTATTAACTTTTCTGGTTTAAATAAATAAAAAAAAAGAAAAAAGAAAAAGAAAAAGAAAAAGGACTGCATTCACTGCTTATCGGCACGACATCCCAAAATTAGAAACAGAAACCGTGAAAGCTGATCTTCCCTACAGGCTGTGAACTGTGTGCTTAATTAAACATGGCTACATATATTAAACTTAGTTAGAGTATACTAGCACAGTTTTACGTTTACCAGTGTCTTCTTCACATTTGGGAGAGGTCACTAGGGCAAATTTTGTGTTATAGCGTGTTTTCTGTTTTTCGCTTAGCATGTTCCACTGTGACTCCAGCAGCTCTTCGATTTCGTCGCTCGAGGCATCGGGATGCTCAGAGACCACCTGGACGTAACAAACAGGAAGGAAACAAGAGAGACTCGATGGAGGAGAGAGACCCAGAGGCCCCAGCCTGTCTGCCCTTCCAGGCTCGCTCTTTGCTTGTTTTCTTACTTTCGTTTTCAATTTATTCATTTATTATTTTGATATTTTTTTGGGTTGCACGACGGACGTGTCCCAAAGGCGCTTTTTCCAAAAGGCCAACTGGATTTTCCCGGTTTTTCCTTTATGACCAGAAAAGAAACGCAAGAAAGTCCACTTGCCTTTTGCAAAAGCACCTTTGGGACAAGCACGATGGAGAATCCCCACAGGTGGGACGGACGTGGACTCACCCCGAGAACCGCTTAATCTCAGCTGCCGATATCCAGTACAGAGAATCCTCGGGTTCTGCCCCGTTTTACGACTTTTCTCCCCACGGTTGCTAAGTGAATCTGGCTCCCCAACTCACTTTGCCTATCACAAGGTCGCCAAAGGGGATCACGTGACCCCTGTGGGACGCTGCGACCGTCGTAAGTACGGACCAGTTGCCAAGCGTCCGAATTTTGATCGCGTGACCCTGGGGGTGGTGCCAAGGTCGTAGCTATGAAAAATGGTCACAAGCCACATTTTTCAGTGCCGTCGTAACTTTGAACGGTCACTAAGGGAACTGTTGTAAATTGAGGACTACCTGCATTTAGGTAAGACAAATGGGTCTGTTTTTAAAATTTTCTCCAAGTTTTTTTCTTTAAAAAAAATAATAAAAATCTTTACATTCTCCTACAGGATCCGGATCTTCTGCGTCCCTTAAAATGTCCTGCAACTCCATTAACAGAATAGACAAAAACATTGAAATTCTTCAGCCGAAAAAACAAGGGCCCCGGCTTGATTTCAGGTGTGCAAAAACAATGTCATGAACAACACCCACACAGTACAGGTGGCCCTGACCTACGACTGCTCGTTTAGTGGCCGTCTGAAGTCACGACAGGCCATCCCAGAGGTACTTGTGACCCAGTTCCAAAATCCTGACGGCTGCTCCCCCCAATCATGTGACGGTCGGTATTTACAGCTGTCTGTCTCTCAATTTAGACTCAACTCACTCACAGATTTGCTATCTTAAGAAGGCAGGAGGAGAAGCCCAATGAATTAGTGCAAGGCTTCTTAGAACCTGGATGAGCATTAAGTGTGCGAGGAGAAGACATACAGATTTCGTACTTTGTGACTCTAAGGCAGGGGTCCCCAACCCCCGGTCCGTGGACCGGTACTGGGCTGCGGCATGCCAGCAACCAGCCCACACAAACAAAGCCCCATCCGCGGGAGCACACAAAACCACGCACCCTCTGGTCCGTGGAAAAACCTCCCTCCACGGAACCAGTCCCTGGTGCCCCAAAGTTTGGGGGCCTCTGCTCTAAGGGACCCATCCAGACACCTGGAAAAGGAAGGATGAAGCGTCACGATACGAATTCTGAAGACACAAACCTCATCTCGGTGCTTCTGACAAAACACCAGGAACTGGGGGACCCCATCGCTCTTTCGGTTTCGGGGAGCGTAGGCAATCGCTTTCTTCCTACCGAAAGGGGACCCCCCCGTGCCTCCTCTGGCTTCTCTCTCCTCCAGGTATTTTCCGGAAGGGGTGCTCTGGACAGGCCTGGGGCCGAAGTCTTCCGAATCACTTGCGCAAAGCGACTTGGTCCTTCTCCCCCTTTTGGCCGGGACGTCGTATTCTTTGCTCGATTTGAGAGTCTGAGAAAGGTCTTCCTCCAAATAAATTTTATCCATCTCTTCCAAAGACTTAACTACGAGTCCGGCTTCCTTCGCCACCTGGGGGTTGAGGACCGGCCTGCCCCTGACGTAAATGAAGGTGTACTTCGCTTTCCTTTCCTCCACGGACATGGACAAGGCATCTTTGGACTGCTTGACCCCCATCTCCCACTGGGGACGCAGTTTTCCTGAAACCGGTTTTAACATCTGCAGGGGGGGAAAAAAACATAAGGAAAAGAGGTAATTTAGACTAACAACAGAAAAGCTCCACCTGGTGAATCTTGAAAAATATATTTTTTCCCATTCATATCGACGCATAACAAGATGCCATTAGCAAGCAGGTAAAATGGCCCAGGTATTAGCAAGCACAAAACAACACACACACAGAAATCTTACCTTTATTTTCTCTGCTTTGTTAATGGAATGCTTTGCACTTTCCTGACACAATTGCTCAAACTGCTCTTCTCCTTTGAACATTACAAGGCTCTTTTCAAACACCCAGGCTCGTTCTGGCGCATCCCCAAAAAACTGTACGTGATACTGGCGAAAACTCTTTTTCTGTCCTGAAAATAGAGACGGCATATTCGACCAATTCAGGGTCTTAGCTTAACAGAGCCACGTGCAAAGATGAAATAACATTTTTGACTGTATGAAGTTAAATTTTTTTATTTTATTTTTTTATTTTTTATTTTTTCATAATTTATATGCCGCCCTTCTCCCCACGGGACTCAGGGCGGCTCACAGCATATTAAAATAACACAATACAAACAACACAACACAACATTTCCCCTATAAAAGCCAATTAAAAACCAAATATTTGTAGCTGTGACATTATTAAAATCATTAAAAATTATCCCTATTTAAAATTCACCCTAGGTCAGTCCCGCT